CAAAACGCAACCTTCTGATACTCTCACGCATCTCCGCATCCTCCACGCCGGGTTCACGCTAACGCAGCTAAGCCCACACCAGTCCGAGCTCGACCCTCGCATGAGCCGCATCCGCGCACGCTCACGCTCGCAGCCTTCGCTGCCGTCACAGCTCTCGACACTTCGCTCAACGACGCACATAGTTCCGCACATCGCACAACTCGTGCACGCACCGGCAACACGCCCCGCATCTCTCGCAACAGAGCGTGGAAGACCCGGAGATCCAACGAGACTTCTCAACATCTTTCTCCCTCTCATGCCTTCACACCCTCGACACTCATATCGTCACTTCCTCCCGTCGTGACTGGGCGGGGAGTGATGTGGCGTCTCACATCTCTCGTGCTTCGGACTCTACTCGCCAGGTGGCCGGGCCCGTAATAGTTCGCTCCCGTCAAGCGGTGAAATTCCCGCACGATTAGTATATAAGCAAGATCGAGTCAATCTGAGCCCACACCTCTCCTGTGTCTAAGGCAGGGAGCACGTCATCAGCCTTACTGATGAGTCCTGGCGTGCTCCCGGGACGAAACATCAAACCACCTTTTTCTCTCTTATAGACGACCTCTTCGATCTCTATATACACACACACACCTGCAGCGCGCCAAGTCGACCAAGCGCACACGCACAGAGCGTTGAGCCGCCAGAGACAACAAATGTACACAAAAGCCGGGCCTACTGTCGGTCGCTCTCATTTCCAACAGACGTTAACATCTTTTACATTAATTTTGAGCCTATTAAAATTTTTTCTTGCAGAAAACAAACATTTGCTTCTACTATTTTAAGTATCTAATGTTATTACTCCACGATTCTTCATGCTCATCCTTCTTTTGTGATAATATTCATCTAAGAGATTAATTTTAGTCGAGATGTCGGTGCCACAAAATATTCATACATGTGTCAGATGCATTAAATTTTTTTGTTGGATAATATCAGAAAAAAGCATATAAAATGAAAATCTTTTTTTTTCTTTGAAATAGTTTGATAGGATAGTGACAGATGGAAAATATATAAAGATAATTTGTGTTTGAAATAAGGGAGAAAGTGATCGTTCTTGTTTAATCGCGGAACTATTATCGATTGTCGAAGTATTGTGGCAATTGTGTCTCATATGCAATAGTCCAATTTTAGTATTAATGACTGGTTTTATTTTGCCTGTCACGTAAAATTTGTTCCTGTAGGTTCGTGTCAACATTATTTTGATTTAATTTTAAGCTTGAATTATAAAGTCCAAATTTTAATGCATAGCAAAGAGCCTTTTTAAAAAATTGTAAGCAGAGGTAAAATTGAAAAAAGATTTATATGTTTTAAGCAGTGTTCGAGATTTGAGTTGGGCCTTGTTATTGTGATAAATTTAATGCTGCTGGTTATGCACCTATGATATACTACATTCAGTGGAGGAATTACCTTCTATTGCGATGAGTTAATGATAAGTGTAATAATTAATTAGTTAGCGATTTTGTTTTGTAACTAATACTCTTTTATTTCGTATTAATTGCCTTGAAATCAAAGATAAAACTTTTTCTGTGTACTTAGTGTGAAATCTATAATAATTTATATTACACAATTCTATTAAAAATAAAAAGAACAACTTACAAGTAATCGCTTATAAAAAATCAGTCCCTTTCTTAGCTAGTCTGTACATTAACCGCTCAACGAGATGATTTACGGTTGTGAGCGATTTGTGACAGCAATCTGTTGCCAGATAAGAAAGTTACCAAGCCCAGGCCAAGAAGATATTGAAGTGTCGTGAACATGTTCAGTTTTAACCAAAATACACCAAAGAGTGTAAAGATACCTGAAAAAATTCATTAAAAACATAAAATTACATGTTTTTCGAATCAGGTTTTTGATAAATTACTTGTATTTATCTACTAAAATGATGTCGTGAATATTGGGCTGCAAACGCAACAATGTTTGTTGCATTTGTGAAAAATTCACCAATTATTATAAGCCCAATTGAAAACAAACAAGCTTAATTCAGAATGGCTGTCAAGCATTGGGCTATTATATAAATAATTAATCGAGTCTTTAAAGTGAGCATGTTTCTTCTCTGTAGTAAACCAAAAACTAGACGGAATGCTTTACATAAAATCTACATATTTAGGATCTAGTTTTTGAGGCAGTTACTGTTACAATAGAATTTTTGGTGAATGAGCAATGTTCTCTCTCAATTTAGTCTAGTTGAGGACACCCATGCTTGCTTTTAGGCTAATGTTCTAGTGATAAAAAATACTCACTTCCAAGCCCTAAGTGGAACAAAATTGCACTTGGCGAAACTGGAAAATTGGAAATGTTGATTCCGACTTTCACCCAAAGTATAAGCAAGATAAGTAGCGGAGATAAACACAACGCAGTAAACAAGTTAGAAACAAATGCCGGAGGTCGTTTCTCAGGCTCACGGAACATATGCTGAAATGAAAAAGAACACAAATTTTGGTCAGTGATTATAATGACACTTTATTTGGTATCCATTTTTTTTTTACTTATTATAATTGCATGTCGTCTTACTATAAGAAATCTTTGAGCAATAAGGAAGCTAAAAGATTTGATGCATTATAATAAAGACGCTAATTTGCCAATGATATGGAAGTTACAAAAGTTTTGATAACCTTTTGTCACTAACGAACATTGGCACTTAAGTTATCTTATAATTCATTGAAGGTACAAATTAGTCTACTATATTTGACGTGTTGATTTACCTGAATTTCTGGTTTGGGTGCGTAAACGTAGGGTTTTTGTTTGTAGGTCGATGCTTTAGCAACTTCCGAGGTTCCTGGCTCTGGGAACTTCAAGCTAACAGTCGCTATAGTCCATTTCAAAGAATTTTTGAGAAGTGCATCACCAATTATTAATTCAACATTGTATTCTCCACTGTGGTAACCGAAATTTTTGGCTGCTGTACCTACAGGCTGTAATAAATAATTTAGTTGTTTAATTTTTATTTCTGTTCATTGAAATATTTTTCTATGTAGCGCACATTGATTGTTAGTTATTATTATGTTGTGAAAAAACATTTTTTTTCAATCAAGAAACTTTAAATAGTCTGCTGTATAGGCTTTCAATACTGATGCAATTTTAAAAAATATCAAGACACCAACTTCATCAGTTTTTAATCATAAAGAATTTGATATGATTGTGGCTTACCATGTCGAACTTGTAAAGGTTTGAAGCATCCGATTCGGCAACAAATATAATTTCTGGTTGGTCTTTTTCTGTCGAGGAAATGGATGAAAGTCGAACAAATGCTTGATGAACACGCATCGACTTATTTTTCGAGGCATTTTTCAGGGCAAAGCGAATAACTAATTTCTGTTGAAAATCAGCCTCAATTTTTTTATTGCATTTTTCAGGATACGATACTCTAAAATACACGTAATTATACGATGATAACCAAAGTCTTCGTTAATACATTTCTTTATTTGGTTGAAGGTTCAACACTTACTTGACTAATTTTGGTTGAGTGGTCTGATCCGCATCAGCTGTGCCGATTTCTAAGAAATTGACTTCGATTTTAGTGAGTACTTTGACCTTCACAGTGTTCGAAACTTGGCCTGACACTGCAATATTGTAAAATCCAGGCTCTGGGGATATACTCATGAAGTTTAGCCCGAATATTGTTCTGTAGAATATATACAACGTATTATATATGTAATGCCTCTTCAATTTGTCTATTTCTTAAATTTAATGGAATTATGTGTAAGATGTTCCATAAAAAATTGAAGTTGAAGAATTATAGTGCAGCAAGTGAATATAGTAGCTATACATAACGATAGTAGTAATGCAGCTACTCTGGGTTTTAATACATAATTTTGCTAGTTGCATCATTTAGATGGAATTCTTTTAGTTTTTTTAAAAAAGGTAAGTTTAAGATAGAAGGGAGTTCAATTTAAATATAACAGCTAATTTGATGAGAGTTTCAAGTTACAAGGAATAACTGGGCTTTTATTTAGTTAATTGAATTTGTCAGTTAAATTAAAAACTTTTTCCAAAATAGGAAAGAGTATCATGGTTAATTCAACTAATAATTTACCCCAAGCGTATAACTGATGTTAGCAATGGCTGACTCAGCAAAAAATTGGGGAATAAGATGTAATTGAAATAATAACGTACTTGTCAGATGTGACTTGGAAATTCTTTTTGCTCATCACCACCACATCGTCCCCTACTTTGGTAGCGGTGTTAGCAACCAAGTTAGATGATGATGGAACAGGATTGCCAAAGAGATCGCAAACTTTTACATAAACCATGGGTTGTTCTTCAGAAATGACCGCTCCATTCTTAGACAAAGTAATGCAAATTGGTTTTTCGGATGGATGATTGGCCATAACGTCGATGGACGAAAGTAGACTAACAGCACCTTCTGGTGATTTTACAGATAGTCGTTGCAAAAAGTAATTCGCTAGTTTGACTATTTGCTCATATTTCAATGGTAACTTTTTCTTCAATGATGAAGCAAGTTTGTATATTCCATTAGTTACCAAACCTAAAAGTATAAAATTTGAGTTAGGATGACAATTTAGTGTAATAATTGAAGTTCTGTAATATTTTAGATCCAGGTTAACATGGGAGAACAGGATTTTTTTGTTTATTTGAATCAAAGATATCTTGTTCTAAATTACTAATTGAAAACCCAAGAAATCAGAGCATTTGATACTAATTTAACATTGAGAACTAAAGAACTTATACAGTCAACGTTAGTTAAATGTAACGTACTTGTAACAGGTAATCCTCCTTCAAACTGTAAAAATTGTCCGTCAGTTTCATCAGCTTGAGCCATTACTTCTTCAATATGATCAAAAGCAAAAGCTCCAGTAGGCCCCAATTCGGCTGCAATATGGAATATATAACCCAAACTGCAAATATGATTTTTATGTAGTAACTGTATAAAGTATGTATTTAAATTACAGAAACAAAGGGTAGTGCTATTACTTCAACAAATTTCCATCCTTTTTCAGTGATTCCTCCAAAGTTTTGGCTATCTTTGTTTTTGTACTATCTGATATTTTTTGACCAAGTAGTACAAGAGAATTCAAAGAATGATAAATTGATTTTGGGGTGGAATCTGGTTTCTCCAACGTGCTGGTGAGCACCTAAAATAATATCATTATTAGCAAGCAAAGACATATTTTTGTGTTTTATGGAATGAAAATAAGTTTTTTATTTTTTAAATCAGAATTGTAAAGCTTCTCCATGGTTCTTGCAGAAGAACGAAAGTTTAGTTAATACATCATATAAAACAAAGTTTCAAGTGATAAAGTAACATATGTAAGTATGTACTAAATTGTATATTATGTTATGCACTAATACTTATTGATTTTCAGTCAATAATAAAATTACCTTTGTCAGAGCACTCAAAGGAAGTGATTTCTGTTGACATTTTCCAAGAGTCTTCCAAGTTGAAGCAATATAGTACACTTGCTCTGGTAACAAAGGTGTTTTTCCAGCTTCTTTAATTAAGAACTCGCATGTTTCCTGAAAGAGACGAAATACTTGTATGAGTATTCAAACTTTCCTTCAAGACATAATGCAACAAGTAAAGTTGTGGCTCATTCAGGAAGACTAATCAATGAATCACGGAGTTATCAATGATTGCAGTTATCATCATTCAAAATTTAGATAAAATAATAGATGTTAAATTTTTTAAATGGAATTTGCATACATTTACAGTGAATATCTAAATAAAGTGAACACGTGCTTACAGCAATTTTAACAATGGGTTCTTTGATCAAGTTGTACCCAAGAACAGCATGATATGCACCAGCCAAGTCTTGCAGTTGAAATCCTGGTTCCACCAGTTTTTTCATGTGAGCTTTGTCAGCCAAAGTAAAGTAAGTGTTCGTCGAAGATGGCACATCGGCACCAAGTGCCATGCCTAAGGTCATCAGCAGAATCAGCAACATTGTATAGAGCGGCGATAATGTCCATGTGGCTATAAAAATGGTTACAGATTTGAGGTTAGATTGGCACACTTTTCATCCACGTTTGTCCCGGGAAATTGGACTAGTGGATAAATACTCGCGTTTTTAATTAAAAGTTGAAGATAATTATGAAGATTACTATAAAAAATATAAAAAGCAGCAGTAGGAAAGAGTTGAAAAAAAATAGCCACGTGGCCGGCAATACTTACTGGAACAGACGCCCGCCCGCTCTAATGGACGGATACGACGTTTTGCTGTCCCAACAGGGAGCACGTCTTTGCGGCTGCTTCGTCATGTTCTGATTGGCCGCTAGTTCTGCCGCAGCGCGTGTTGGCGTTGGTGACTCGTCTGAACATCCTATGAGACCCTGCCACGGCGGCGGCTCCTATATAAAAGGCTGCGCACAAACTGAAAAAGAGAAAGAGATAGGGCCCAAACTTGGTTGCCATGCTTTTCACCCTGATCGCGACCAGTCGTCTGTTCTGGCCTCGAGTGGCTTAGTAAGGCGCTGAATTTAATACTTGCGTATCAAGTCTCCCATATCTTATCACCCTGGGAATGAGCCGACTTCGAAATTCTCCATCATTTTTCTTTCATCATTTCCCTCTTACTCCTATACACGTTCCTTTATATTGTAGGGATGGTATGATCCTAACTGATTGACCCTACGTGGGAAGATGGATTCTTAGTTGGTAGGAACCATGGTAATTACTTTTGCAAAAGTATAAAAATTAACTTAAATATTTATGTATTATGAAACGAGCTTAGAGTCTGCCAATTTTATAAATAGACAAATAGATTAATAAGAACAAAGTTTATTTGATGCATTTTATGTGTACAAAAATATGGTGTTCAATCATGAGAACTTTAATAAAGAATGTGCAATTTATGCCTCATGTTTGGAAATATTACAAACACAGCTTTCCATTTAACCATTTATCCAGCCTTATTAAAGTTTTTTTTTTGCACAACTTTCTAAACCATATGATCTGAACAGTCTATCAATTGTCTACAAAAATATACACATATGTACAACAGTCCAATGACGGGTCAAAGACATCACCGTCAGTCCCTGTATACCAGCTCATCACGGCCTCGGCAGCTTGTAAAGGCCGCCAGAAAACAGCAACTGGTGTTCTCGCACCTTTTTGTCCAGAAAGTGTCGAAGCTCGGGCAAGCCGCACTCGACAGCACCACTACCTTGCGAGGCAAACATCTTGAGCATCTGGTGGATGCGCTCGAGGGGCATCGAGTCGAGATTCGTGAGCATGCCCACGATGTAGGACCAAAAAACTTGGAGCTCCTCTTCGCGCTGATCGCTCGCCGAGGCCATCACGCTCTCGGCTTCCTCGTCCTCGAGGGCTTCGGCGTGAAGCGCTGCAGCGGCAGCTGCAGCTGCGGCCGCTGCTGTGGCTGTCGCGGTGTCCACCGAGGCCTTTTGCGCGAGCTGCCGACCAGGCAGATGCTGTCCGGGACTCAGCTCCTCCTGAAGCACAAAGGTGTCGCGTTGGGTCTCGACGAGGAGCGCCTGGGAGACCCAGAAGCCTATCTTGCGGCGCAACACGGTCGCAGGCACGTGCATCAAGTCGGCGAGCTGTTCGAGGCTCCACTGGGGCTGCTCCTGGAAGTGCAGGATTATGGTCGCGTGGATAGGCGAGACATTGAGGTTGAGGCTGCGATCGCGCGTCTCGATGTCGAGGTTCACGCTGCCCAAGTGGGCCTTCCAGCACAGCGTACGGTTGCCCTTGAGAGCCTCGTAGGCGCGCACGTACCGGTCAAGCTGGGCCTGCACAAAGTCCGGCAGATCGAGCTTCCAATCCTCCTTGAAGGGTGGCCAGAACTGGGCTGACAGTATCAGCGCGGAAGTACTGAAGCTCGCTTGGCTCGCGTCGTAGTTGCGCTCCAGCTGGATGTTGCCGTCGATGCGTTTGGAATCGTAAATGTCCTTGATCATGACCTCGCAGTGGTGGAGCTGTTGCTCGCCGAAGCGGCGCTTAAGAAGCTCAAGGTGGCGCAGCTCGCGGTCCGTCTGGTAATTCAGCTGGGAGAGCAAACGGTCGGCTAGTAGGGTACGATACTCGCTGACGAAGAGATCTTGACTGCCGTAGATGCCGATTAGCATCGAGAGAATATCGGCGACCCGGCGTTTCGGGTGGCCACCAGTTACCCCAGCACCATGGCCCGACATCGCAGATGTCATTGCGGGACTAGTGGTGGTGAAGGTAGTATTGGTTGTGGTGGTGGTGGTGTTGCCGCCAGCTGCCGCGCCACTGCTCAGAGTGGGCTCAAAGAACCCGGATCCGTAGTCGTCGTCCTCCTCTTGGCGCAGATGATGGTACAGGTTGGGCCCGGTGTCTATCGGATCGGGCTGCCAGTTCTCCCAATCTTCGGTGGACTCTTGAAACGAGTCGGACACGTCGAGCTGAAGAGCTTCGCCACCCTGGGCCAACTCGTCGGCCAGGTCACTGGCGCTTGGCTCGTCCAATAGTCCACTGACGACGCAGCGTACGGTATCCTCGCGACTGCGCAAGTACTGCTTGATAGGCTCGGCGACTGTCTCGAGAAGGAGGCCGCTCGGATCGAGCTGACGCAGAGCTTTGATGGCACTGATGTAGGCGGTGAGAATATCGGGGGTGCTGACACCCGGGTGGAGTAGGCGCGTCTTGAATGCAGCCCTGAGCGAGCTCACGAGCCATTGGCGCAAAGCGGTGCGCTCGAGACAGGCGCGTAGGTCGTCGACGGCGGCCCGTGAATCCGGGTACTCGATGACTATGTTGAAGAGCTGCTCGATGCGCGCCCGGGTGTAAGTCTCGTAGAGGAAGTAGTTGAGCTTTTGCTTGAAGGAGTTGACTGCACGGCGCAACCGGGGCTCGAGTGCCACGGACCGCGACGAGCCACCCGAGTAGATGCGCGTCAGCCAATTGACAACGACGGTCTCCAGCCAGTGTTCGAGCGGCTCGAGCTGGCTCGTATCGAAGCTACGCTCGCACACGCGGCGAACGTGACTCTCGATGCGAATGTGGATAAGCGAAGTCAGCACGTTGCCAACCAGCCGCTCAAGTAGATCCAGTTCGATGAGCATTTTGTTGGTCTCGTGGAATATGTCAACGATTGCCTGGCACTGGCAACGTCTCGATTCTTGGCTACATCCTTCGCACACCAGCTCCAGCTCATCGTCCTTTTTCTCTGGCTGTCGGAGCTGACGCGGCGTCGACTTGGCTTTGTTGCTGTTTTTGGATTCACCTGTTATACCACTGTTACCGTTGCTGCTCTCGATGCTGCAAAAGACGTTGAATGCGGTTTTGTAAAAATGCTCGATTATGCGCGTGTGGTAAAGCGGGATCTGGCTGAGAAGGGTGCTTCGGATCAAGAGCTTGAAGTGCTCCACAAGGTCTCCTTGGCTGAACGGACAGATCTCTCGGGTACAAGATCCGGCTGCTATGAGATGCTTAATCGTTGGCAAGAGCAGACTTGAGTCATGGTAAAGATCATTGACGGAGCTCGTGAAGGCCTGAAAGCCCCGCTGCTCGTCGGCCTCGTCGATGAAGTGCGACCAGAACTTGGGTGCGACCGACTTACGCAGGTGCTCTTCGATCTTTGGCACGACGAGGCTCTGCAGGCAAAAGTTTTTGGACAATGCCTGAAGTTCCTTTGGCGTGGCCTCAAGTTTGGGATCGATCGTCTCGGGCTCGAGGCGATCACACAAGATCGGGAAGTTGTACTCCAAGAATTTGAATAATCGTTCCTCTTCGGCAAGTTCTTCTTCCGTAGGTTCGGTCTCTTCCTCTGCTTTTTCCTCGTCCTCCTCCATTTTAGACTCAGTATCGGACGTAGCCATGACACTGTGACACCTGTGTGCATAGGTGAAAGATATTGTCAACACTGAGGATTCAGCTATTAGATACGGATAAGGACTACATGAAATCACCCCAGAGTAAAGGGTTGCTGGAATGTAGCCTGAAAGACGCTTTAAGTTTTTATCAACTGCTTATTCTAGACATTTATAAGTTAACAGTGACAGGGATACGACTATGGCAATAAAACAATTATTGACTGCAACAACGAGAGTACACGTGCATGAATCTATTTTTTATTTTTAAAGCTAAGTTACAAATTAGCAAATGTTATAAATAATTAACTACCTTTGAGTTACAGCTGCATGAAGTCTTTTCTAATTTCAATTCTGTAATGTTTACAGAGTAAATTCTGATAGGAGTAAGAGCCGCGACCCAATTAATACCTACTGTTTTGTAAAAAAATCTGGCGAGCCTATAGTGAGCGAGTTAACGTTTTACTGCAAATTGTACGATAATTAAGTAACCGTGAATAACGTACATTCATTTTTACGTACTTATAAGCCGGTTACTGTATCGTAATAATGTGTACTGTACGCACAACACACGTTTTCTCTCTCGTGTTGCTATTGCTATGTTATGACATATATATGTGCTGTCTGCTTTTACTATACGATACATATATATACGTTACATTCTGGTGAAGAGAGCACGGTATAAGATACTTATGCGTGTAAAACATAAATTGTACACTTGCCGCAAACAGCAGAAACAATGTTAACTTTTTATTTAATATTTGTAAAACAAGTTGCGGCTGGTTTATGTTTAATTACATGGCTCTACTGTAAGTTGTAATGTATATTTGGATCAGCGCCATCTAGCGGTCGTTATTTTTTGGCCAAAAGTGGCTCCTAAAATTCTGAATCAGAGCAATCAGGATTAGAGCCATTTAGTCAATTATAAACCAGCCGCGACTCATGACGAAGCTATACAGTAAAAAAATAAGAATACATGTGTTTTTGGCGGCAAGTTAACAATTATCTTTTGCTCAAAAATTTATCTTCAAAGGTATAAATACATAGGAGGTCAATTTTTTAGTAGAAAATAAATTATTAACTTGCCGCCAAAAACACATGTATCGTTATTTTTTCATTTTATAGATTTATCATAAGTTGCGGCTGGTTTATAATTGACTAAATGGCTCGAAGCGCGAAAGCTCTGATTCAGAATTTTAGGAGCCACTTTTGGCCAAAAAACAAAGACCGCTAGATGGCGCTGATCCAAATAATTATTGCTATTTACAGTAAAGTCACTTTATTAATTATAAACCGGCCGCAAATAATCACATGAATAGAAAATAAATAGTTGATATTTTTTATGCTACTTGCGGCAAGTTTACAATCTACCTTTTATCCAAAAATCGACCACTACAAGTAAATAAATATTCTATTTATCTTATACGGCTTATAAAATCTACCATATTTATAAAATTACAATACTTTAGACCTTTTACCATTAACTCACGAAAGCACAACCCTTTAACTTTATAGTTTAAATAAACAGTTAACTTATATAATATGTAAATACCAAGACTTGTGTTACAGAAATCTTGAACAACGTTTAAATAGATACGTAAAGTAATCAGTCCAAAAGAGACAACTGAAGAAAAAAGGCTTAAAAAAGAAGTTCAGTCACACAGGAAAAGTCTCCTAAAAATGGAGTATTGGATCTCACTTAATGAGAGTTGTTTCAGATATAAAGAATGTGAAAATTCATAATTTTATGCTAAGGATTTGTGTTTATTTGGATAATAAAGAAAATTTGTTAATCAAACATAGAGCTTTATTTGTTTTACATTTAACAAATAATTGATGATGATTATACAAGCAGCTCTTAAATCTTATTGTAAGTCTGCAGAAGCAGATTCTTCCCATCCTACCTTGATTAATTTTTTAATTTAAATGACCTTGTATGTACACTGTTAAATGATTTTAAATATTAAAGTTAACTAGTTGTTTTATGTGATGAATTCATTTTGATAAATCCTTAAAAATTTTGTAATGGTCCATGTTGGATTGAAAAACTTTGAGTCTCTGATATCTGTAATTTTTTTTTTTTATGCACATATGATACATGTTCCTCTGCAATATATCACACATTCATGTTGTGAGGTTTTAATATTACAATAACAAAGTTTGATAACGCACAAGTTAAAAGTCTCAACTAGCATCAAAAACAGTAGAATATATACGTGAATTAATCAGTCTAAAAGAGACAACTGAAGAAAAAAGGCCTAAAAAAGAAGCACAGTCACGCGAAGAGTCTCCTAAAAATGGAGCATTGGATCTCACTAAATAAAAAATACATTTATTACAGAGAAGTAAATTTGAAGTATTATAAATAAACAAAGAACCCAACCTTCTCTGATTAAGTGAGATCCAATGCTCCATTTTTAGGAGACTTTTCCTGTGTGACTGAACTTCTTTTTTAAGCCTTTTTTCTTCAGTTGTCTCTTTTGGACTGATTACTTTACGTATCTATTTAAACGTTGTTCAAGATTTCTGTAACACAAGTCTTGGTATTTACATATTATATAAGTTAACTGTTTATTTAAACTATAAAGTTAAAGGGCTGTGCTTTCGTGAGTTAATGGTAAAAGGTCTAAAGTATTGTAATTTTATAAATATGGTAGATTTTATAAGCCGTATAAGATAAATAGAATATTTATTTACTTGTAGTGGTCGATTTTTGGATAAAAGGTAGATTGTAAACTTGCCGCAAGTAGCATAAAAAATATCAACTATTTATTTTCTATTCATGTGATTATTTGCGGCCGGTTTATAATTAATAAAGTGACTTTACTGTAAATAGCAATAATTATTTGGATCAGCGCCATCTAGCGGTCTTTGTTTTTTGGCCAAAAGTGGCTCCTAAAATTCTGAATCAGAGCTTTCGCGCTTCGAGCCATTTAGTCAATTATAAACCAGCCGCAACTTATGATAAATCTATAAAATGAAAAAATAACGATACATGTGTTTTTGGCGGCAAGTTAATAATTTATTTTCTACTAAAAAATTGACCTCCTATGTATTTATACCTTTGAAGATAAATTTTTGAGCAAAAGATAATTGTTAACTTGCCGCCAAAAACACATGTATTCTTATTTTTTTACTGTATAGCTTCGTCATGAGTCGCGGCTGGTTTATAATTGACTAAATGGCTCTAATCCTGATTGCTCTGATTCAGAATTTTAGGAGCCACTTTTGGCCAAAAAATAACTACCGCTAGATGGCGCTGATCCAAATATACATTACTACTTCTAATAGAGCCATGTATTAAGCTATAAACCAGCCGCAACTTATTTTAGGGATAAAAATTGAAAGTTGACGATGTTTGTGCTGTTTGCGGCAAGTTTACTATCTATCTCATATCCAAAAATTGACCTATATATTTAAACTCAATTTACCAAACTTACTAGTCCACGGGTCTAGTTACTATTACTAGTGATTTTCTTCATAACAACGGAAGGGTAATTTTTAGTTTGAAATCAGCCGCGCGAGACAGCGCGCTAATTAACTACGTAAAATATATAAGCAGTAAAAATTTTATATTGTGTAATAAATTAGTTATTTTCATTTAATGCGATATAACATATTTTTTGACAATCGTTCTTGAAAAAAATATTTGTTTTAAAAATAATATATTTAGAATTTTCCCGGGAGTCGCCATGATAGAGCTAGTTTATCCTGGCACCATCTACTTTGAGCTTGCAAGGCAAACTTCCTCATACTCACAATGAATTAATAAATCTCACCATCTGTGTCTATAGATATAGGTTTTTTGTTAAACGGAATTAACCAATAAGGATCAAGTAATTTAAAAATTGAATGCATAATAAATAATAATACTGTTATTTAAAAATGTTAAGTGGGGGCGTTTTTTTGGAGAAGAAAAGAGTGTGCTTTTAGTTATTTTTATTTTATAGAAGTACACTTTGAATTAATCATAGAATTCATGAACAATACATTTTGGTTATGAAAGCTAGCAATTTCTGATCTATTTAACAAATATTGCGTATTTTCAAGAAGCGTGCATAGTACATTAGTTTGTAAAAGTACATAACAATGGCAGACTTAACATCTGATGAGGCCATGACAATTGATCACTTTCGAGATGAATTGAGGGATAAAATTAATGTATCCAGAAAGCAAAGGAGAGATGCTTCTGTAAATAAAAATCGCCCTGCTCTTGGGCACGTTTGCGACAGGAATGAACTTACAGAAGAGTTTGTTACAACTGCAGCCAAGAGTCTTAAAAAGAAAGCACTGAGCATCACGGAATACAACAAACTACAAAATGCCTTGATACAGGTTTGGAAATGCTTTAAAATGATCTTATCAAACGGAAAAGTAACATTTCATTTTTTTCAGAGTGAAAACCACATAAATGCTTTTTTAAAAGTTAATAATGCTATACACGGCTTAATTCGAGACCTATCAAGTGTGTCTAGTCATCTAAAACTGTCAGCTGCCAACTGTTGTTGTAATTTAGCATTAGGTAATTCAAAAGCTTGCTTTACACTCTGTAAATTTGCAGCTCCTTATCTGATTGCTGACCTCGAAAGCACGAGTCCTCCATTGATTGTGAGTTTGGATTTGTACTGTTTTTACGCAAAGCTTACAAAATTCAGGTGATGAGTAAATTTATTTTCTGCAACTTGTCTTAGGAAGTATGTGCTTGGACAATTGGAAATTTAGTTTGTGGATCTGACAAGACATTTCCTATACTGCTAGCACAAGGTTGCATGAAATCATTGATAAATCTTGCTCAAAATTGTTCAGATGAACTTTTACAAGCTGTAAGTTATGCTTGTGTTCGATTTATTCATAAAGGAGTCAATGTGATCGAGTGAGTTTTTTTTCATTGTTTCAGTGAAACTTACAATTACTTTAATGAATGAATTTAAAAAAGCTTTTGTTTACTATTAAAATGGAGTATACTATTAAGCGATTTATAATCATATTCAAGACACTTTCTTTATTTTTGTGCAATTCATAATAATGATATCACTGTACTCAATGTTGAAATTTTCTTATTTTACCTCAACAGTAGGTCAGAAATCAACAATCTTTCAATGATAGTATCACATCGATGTCCAACAGTTTCTAATATTGATACAATGTGGCTACTGGCAACACTATCATCAATACCGGAATGCTCTGACAGTTTGATGAAGTGTACATTGAGATTATGCGATTACTTACAGGATACTGTTGTCACCGAAAACGATAGCATCGAAAGGGTAAAGATTTAGTGTTCATTAAGTAAAAATTAACCATTTTTATACTTAATCATTTTTATGAAGGTTTCAGCAGCTATCAGAACTATAAGTAACATGGTGTCTGAAACATCAGGTGAAGTAGCTAATTATTTATTGAAGGGTGATAATGAAAAACACTGCACTTTCCTTGGTAAATTGTTGTATCATCAGTATATTCATATAAGACAAGAAACGCTATGGCTCTTAGGTAATTATACAACTCATAAACACTCATTATACTTGATTCAAAAAAAAGTATTATTATGATATGAAGTTTCGTACACTGAGAACAACTTTTTTTTTCATCATTGATTAATTTTATCCAGGCAATCTCTGCAACCATCATTTAGTTTCTGTTCAGCAACTGGTAGAACCAATTGTTATCTCACTGCCATCCTTGAAGTTTGCAGTCAGTTCACTGAATACAATTAGTTAAAAAAACAAAAACAAAACAACTACCATGTTCAACATGTTCAATGTAAGTTTGAGTAAATAGCACTTCACTGGTGTGCACCATTTTTATCACAACTCAACTTGAAGTCATAACAATGATTATTATAAAGTGAAAAACCCGCACTCGTGTAATAATTAAAACGCTCTTTTCAGAGGAACGAATTTTTTTATGTTGTTGTCATTGGCCGCCGCATCTTCTTCTATACAATTTGGTTGCGCAATGTTGAAGTATATGTTACCAATGAACCCAGCCGACGAGTCGTTGGTTTTCTTGAGACACCTGTAGAAAGTCTCGTCGCAAGCACAATGAGATCTGAAGTACAGGAAAAAAAAAAAAAAAAAAGATCAAAGCCATTAGAGTGTTATCATAGTTGGTGCATATATTATATCACATTTCAAGTGCATGAAGTTGTTCATGTGAAACTTACCTGCTGTAAAACGACAGGTTACTGAGATTGTAACGCGATTTAAAGCTACGAATTTTCACGGGGCAGAGATCATGTGCTCGACAACATCTGTAAATTGTAAAAATTATACTTAATTCTACTTCGTTCTGCAATGGAAAATTATAACAAAAAAAAATCGTTGATGGGACATGTACCAAAACGAAGTAAAAATGAAATAGATCTTGTGAAAATCAAATTATTGAGATTTGTTATGAATCTCGGCAACTTATAAAATTATTATGGCGTTGCATGTATTTTTCAAAGTCAATCAATTTTTCATGTGTAGTTTACGTAGAAAGAATGAAACTAATGGATCATGATTTAAAATTTTCTATTTTTGTACTGTTCTATTGAACACTCAAGCGAAACTGCTGATAAATATGAAGCGTTTTTATTTTCCCAAAATACACACTGTCTTCATTTTCATATACCTGTCAATGTTTGTTGCCCATCCCAAGTCGTGATAGTTCTCCGCTATATCTCCCGTGCCACACCATTTAGTGCCTGCGTGAAAGAAAAAAAAAAAAAAAAAAAAAAAAAAAAAAAAAAAAAAAAAAAAAAAAAAAAANGTACTATTCTGATCTATATATGAAGATTATATGCATCTACATGAATTTCTGTGCAAATTTTGCATCGCTTTGTCTAATTATCATCAGCTGAAACATCTGTCTTAAAAACCATTTATAGATACAAATTTAATATTTGTTGTGTAACATAAAAAAAAAGTTTTACTTTGCCGAAAAAAAATAGTATCAAGTATATATATATTTATATCGACGATTTTCGAGACTCATACGCCACCTAGTGAATGTTGATGTAAGCTTAAAGCTTTGGGAACTAAATGAATTTTGCGTTCCTTCAGCAAGTGTCAGCTAAATTTGTTGAAAAAATAAAAATTAAAAAAAAAAAAAAAACGTCGTTCCCGTGATGTTGTGCCACAAACAAATGTGCGTGTTGCGCAATGCAGCACTGGAATTATTATATTGTTTGTTTTATTTCTACACGGCCTTCTTTATTACAATTACATGTTATATTCATCAATTATCGGAATGCTTTTGACACACTTTGACGATAATTTTTTTTTTTTTTTTTTTTTTTTTTGTAGCTACAAAAAAGCCATTGGTGAGAATTCTGTAGCTGTTAAGGATTCAGATCAATTCGTTTTCAACAAAGTCCGCTGTGAGGTTAATAATCTCGAGATCGACTGGATGACTTTATCCAAACTTTGATCAACATACTGTGATTTTGAAAAGAAAAAAAAAGAAAAAAAAACTATGCGATTCTTAATAGATGCGAAACGCACGTGAAAATCCGCGGGTAATTTAATTCTAACGAGGCTTATCACGTCGTGAGATGTCCGATGGACGATCCGTTGTGCAACGCAAACGTCGTTATATGAAGTTATTACGTATGGCTGTCACCCATTGTTAGCTCTTTGGAAATTATAAAAAAAAAAAACATTTCAAGTACCTCGTGTGTAAATAAAGCTTATTTTAATCGATTGAAAACAGATGCTAATGAATTCATTACCGATTTAAACGTCTCAGCATTGAGTTTTTTTTTTTTTCTTTCAATTTTTTTATCTCAAGCTTATAAAAACCTACTGTAAAAACAATCCACCGAGTTGTGTGTGTAACATAACAACGGGTCGCGTGAGGAAAACGATTTGTCCTCTTCGCGAAAAAAAAAAAAAAAAAAAAAAAGTTATCGTTACCTCACGCGAATAGCAAATTCGTCAATATCTATTGTATAAGCATACCCGGTACGATACCGATGCGCCAAGTGTTGCCTCTGCTGGACTTTTCCTCGCTACCGTGGGACATGATTGCCGATTCGTTGAAATGCGTGTCCAGACTGTCGCATTTGTCCATCAGTAGCATCATTTCCTTGAACGAGATCGTACGTATCCTCAGATGCGACCTAGATAAATTTCTCAAAACTTGCTCGGCCTCGCTTTTTTCGCTGCGAAAAATATTTTTCTCACATTATAACACACACTAACGAAAACAATAAGTGCGGAACTAGAGTGACACTGATAATGGGCGCTTTTACTGAAATTCAAACGTGCCCCGGACAATGGCGATGCAGTTGGGTACCGCGTGTACACGCGCACTCGTGTCACCTTAGTCGAATTTCTCGCGGATTGATTCAGCGCACCGAGAGACAAAGCATTTCTACGATTGTTGTACCGCGGACGTGTTGCACACACGGACTGTTAATGTAAAACGTGCGTGATCGGAATCGGCGACAACCACCGATCGAGTGGTTGTTTAAACATTTAGAGATCCTTTCATTTGTACTTCTCGGCCGAAAAGAAAAAGACAAGAAATTTAGACAATTGATTGATTCCCGTGAAAAAAAAAAAAAAAAAAAATACGCGCTGCCGTTCTGTTGGAAAAAAGGAACCGAAAAAAAATGAAACTCGAGATTTAAAAATAGAATCTCAACATCCATGGCTTTTCATAGTTTCGTATCGTAAGATTTGACGTTAGTAAAATCACGATGAAATGAAGATTGTTGGTAATAAGTAACCGGGTCATCTTCATGCACCCGATTGTTTTTTCTCTTTGAATGATGAATATAAATATAGTTGACGCCACTGTAACTTATTTGTATCGGGCAAAATCGTTATGTACGTGCGGGGGAATATAAGAAAAACTGTTGAAAGAAAAAAATAACTCACTAAGTCTCGACGAGCTCGCATCGGACGATTTTTCTAGCTTCGCGCAAGTCGACGACAGCGACCAACTGGTCGTGGTAGAAGACGAGCCTCTTCTCGGTGTCGTTGAGCTTGGCCAACCTGGGCAGGCCCTTGAACTCGTTGGCCCCGAGCTTTGGTTTGTGGAAAATCGGCTCCTCCGAGCTCGGCCTCGGACTCCCTGCCAATAACACCAGCCCTACGATCCACGGTGTCCAGTGAGCCATGGCTCGCTTCACTTGGGCCCTATACAGGCTGTGGCGAGAGTTTGACGATTGATTCACCGAGACAGCTGCAAGTGGTTGTCCGGACAAAGGAACGAAAGACCGATTTATTCGACTGCTCTGTTGCGTATAATGAAGCGTGAGTAGCCGGAGGTTTCTTTTTTTCTTTCCACGCACGCCTATCGATTTAGTAACAGCGTTTCTTTTTCTTTTGAGTTAGTCGTGCTTAATTTTTTTTTTTTTTTTTTTTTTTTCTGCAATAGCAAAGTAAAAAAGGCTTTATTCCGTTTTGTTACTCAACGATTTAAAATGCACAACAGGCAAATAACACTTGAAAAATGTTCACACTTAATTTTATGAATATTATGAAGACGTATGATCATTGTATGATTCACGCGCAATGCAAATGGTGAAATAAATAATTTTTTGTTACCCAAGAACATATAAATCATGCAAATCGCGGATCCATGGCCAGAATCTAAATTTCGTCCCAGTTACATGAATGTATTTTTCAGCCTATATATGTATATGCAGTGTCCATATTAGTTTCAATGACGAATGCAAATTTCCTTCTAAAAATATCAATTAACCATCGATCAAAGTTCTCGGGAACTCTGTCGCTATATGATATTATATTTTTTTCAAACCTATACTTTACGAGCGAGCAAATAAAACGTGTAATCATTGAGAAAATCATTTCTGCGAATAAAAAGAAAATGTCTTTGCCCCTAGTCACTCCGTTGAAAAAAATGCAGACCAAACCGATGGGAAAAAATATTTCATAAAAATAAACACCTATGATGTTTAGCAAAAATTTTCATTGTTTAAAGAGCAATTGTATTCCACACAAAATGTATTTCTCAGTCAATGTACCGTGCACGTTCTCGTGTCGAATCATTTGCTCTCTCGATTGATAAAACCATTCGAAAGCCACTCTAAACTTACACGCAACTTAAAAACATTTATCGATGCGTCAGTAATGTTGTACGAGAAAGAAAGAAAAAAATAAATAAATAAAAGAAAGAAAGAAATCGCACGCGAAACGCGACAGTTTCTCACGCGCTTTCTGATAAAATTAGAAACTCCTCTGCAGCCGCTCGCGCTAACACCAACATGTATTGTGTACATACAGTGGATCTCTCACCGGTGAAGCGGGGTTTCGCCTGTGGAAAATCGGCTACACGCGCTGTCGCTGCGGCTTTCCCATCAAGCTCTGTATACGTGAGGAAAAATAGAAAAAATCCGACGCTCCTGACCTTTCTACGAAGACGTCCGTAGCAGTCGCATCATAGGCAGTGCTGCTGGTGAAATTGCCTTGTTATCATCATCCCGGCACGCCTTCCAAACGGCTATGCTGTTGCCGTCAATTGAAATGCCATACTTTTAGTTTACACCCATCCGCTTTCTATTTTATTTATTTTTTTGTCATCGTTGTCTAAAATTATAATTTTTCGTTGGGTTAATTATTACTACCAGTTCCCGTTAACATTACTATTTCTTTGTTTTTATTTATTTTCATCGTCCTGACGTCAATAGATCGTTATGAGAATTTCACATGCCAGGATGAGTGTCCGCGATGCAAAGTCACTCAAGTAAAATGATTTGTCGAAAAACATTTTTTTGCTTAACAGCAGAGTAAAAAGTGCGCTCTCGAGCTTTTTTTACTTTCAAGTACGTCTTTTCCCATTGGGGAGTCATTTTTTTTAACTCGTCTTCCCAAAACTTGCTCGATTGCCATCTATTCCCGCCGGACTCGTAACACATTTTCTTTGAGGATTCGCCCGAGTTATAAAACTTTTGCATACATCACTGGATGGGCTCGCCCACCTCGTAAATAACAACTTTTACTTTCGGCTCGTGGCCTCTGGAACTTTCTTGAAAGATACCGATTTACAGATACGAATACCCAATTTTTCTCATGAACGTGAAATGGCACAATGAATCGACACTATACCGAGCAATAACAAGTTTTCCCATAAGCACGAGCGTGGGGGCCAAATATTCAACCTCGAACCGAAAGAATTTAGGGTGTTATCGAATAATTGTTTGCAGCGATCCTATGCAGGGGCAAAAGTGTCTGCCTACCTTGTTTGTGTATGCTTACCAATAACGAACAACTCGCGCTTTCACTCCACACCATGCATGCGTGAACTGACGATTGAACGTTTTATCGAGAGCTCTTTGCTATGCCGATCGCCTGAAAATGTAAAAAATCGGCACTTTTCAACGCTATCGGCAAGTTGGCCGATTTTTTTTTTTTTATTTTTCTTTTATCTTGTAACAACCACTATCGATTATCATTTTGGACGTACACTACATGTACACAGGACGCCAAAGGAAGCGTTCGCGCGTCGAGGCGGACTACTTACGACTGCCAGCCGATTCTCTCTGGCCGCAATTTGGCCTTTCTTTTTCTCTCTTTCACGATCGCTTCCCCACCGCTCGCTAGTCCATATAATAAACCAAGTATACATTACAATGTATATGCGTACACCTGTGTATATATATGAAGGATGTGTTGGATATACGTACATAAAGATAGTTGTTGGTAATAAAGATACACCTGCATCTCTGCGGGTATGCATATAGTTATTAGCAAATTGTTGCGCGCGAGACAACAGCATATTACTGTATTCTATACTCGTGTTACGTTCGTTTGTGATTGTTATGCCGTCTAACATAATCTCGATTTCGTGCGTTGCTCTTGTACATATTTTTTTTTTTTTTTTTCTTTTGTTTTTGTGTTCATAAAGTTTTTAATCTTTTTTTGTTTCTTGTGATGACATGGTCAAATAATCAATGATTCGATGGAGATAGATGATTTTGCTTATAATGTTTATGCATGGGCTTGTGTAACAGATTTTTTAAGAACTTTAATGCAAGTATTTGAACTCTGAGAAGCTACAGGTATATATATATATATATATATATATATATATATATATATATATATATATATNGTATGTATGTATATTGGTTCGACACACTTTTTTTCTCCAAAGTTGCCTTCCTCATTTTTTTTTCTGTTTCACGTGGTGGTGCTAAAATAAACACTAGTCATGTGCTGACAAAAGAAGAAAAGGTTCGTTTTGCCATATTAAAATAAAAAAAGTTGATGAATAAATAAATGTGAAAATTTGGTAATGAAAAAGGCCCTAGCAAATTAACGCCACGCCAAGAGTTCGCATTGAGCTGATAGGGTGAGTGATATACATAGGCGTTGGTCTACTGTTTGGCCCATCGCGGGTAATACCAGACTCCTTTAAGGAAAAGAGCTTAGTTCCCGACAAACAGCCTAAGACCACCTATTGAAGAAAGGGTACCATACAGAGAACACGATTTTCCGCAATCAGATAAATTAATTGGGTAGAATATAGTTCGCACGAGATGATTTTTTGGGACGCACGTGCAGCAGCAAATCCTTTCTTGACGGCAAATGTCGAAAAACAATTTTTTTTTTTTTTTTTTTTTTTTTTTATAAAAAACACTATGGCTCAAGCGTGTTGCGTTGCGCAAGCGGAAGTAGCTGTTATGGGAAAAAAGAGGCATCGGGAAGATGAAGCTTTACTCGGTGTGTTTTGAGGAATGACGGCGATCATCGGAGTTTGGAAGAATAAAACAAAAAAAAAGAAAAAAAAAGGAGAGAGGTACAGAGGAAAGAATAGCGATAAAGAAACAAAAACAAGTTTCGAAGCTGGACGTAACACTATACTCTCCGTCCTGATGGCCCGAAGAAAGTGGGACATTTGTCGCGACATACTTATCGTCGACTCTTTTCTAAACGCCCGTAAAATATGCGACGTGCTTGTGTGCGCCTATACCGATGAATCGGTGCCAATGGCACGCGTGCGAGAGAAGAAAAAGGACGAGTCCAGATTGCCATTGGTTCTATACAGTTGACTTTTCTTTGTTTTCTATAGCCATACTGATTTTCAAGACCTTCTACTATGTACATGATAACGAAAAACATGTAACTCTGCATCGGAGGAAGCAACGACAAAGACCGCGTCGTGTAAAGTAAAGTTTTATTTATTGTTAAAAAACAAAAATCGAGGGTCATAGCACAAATAAAAGTCGATAAAAAAGAGAGGACGTGTAATAAAGTCGTCGAAAAATTTAGAGATGGTCCCTTCGGTTCAACTGGAGTGGCTGGACCGGTGACCCGAGAACGCCGCCGGAGCCACGCTACTGGCGCCGCTGGACTTGCCGTAGGAGCTGCTGGTCCCCAGTCGGCTAGCGCTCAGGGTCAAACTGACGGGAGTCGCGTTCAGTAGTTGCAGTCGCACGGGGCATTGGCGATAGGCTGGAACGGGAAACACGTGCGTGTTAATTGGTGCAACGGAGGTCGTTGACTCGTGTACACACACGTTGGGACCGTTTTTCCGGGGGGGAAACACGTCTCATCGTCTCGACTACGGAATACAATTGGGTGTTTCCATGGACAAAAACAAAAAACAAAAAAAAAAAAAGAATTCATTGTATGTCGCTCGTCTCGTATATCATTAATACTGTTTTAGTTTTATTTTGTCTTTTCCAAAGTAAAAAAAACTAACGTCGGCTGGGCACACATCAACTTTTGTTTCGTAACCTTCGCACCGCCTTATATTACGCGAGTAATTTTGTCTCATCAGCCCATCAGGTCCATTTCCGAGTTTCGACAGCCAAGTGAAAAAAAAAAAAAAAACAAAAAAAAACCAAGTACCAGCATGATGGGGTCCAGCGCAGTGGCAGCAGACGGGGTTGTTCCTGGGCCGTGGGCAGAACTCAACGCTGTGGGGTTCCCCGCAGCGGACGCATCGGGGCAGGTGCCGGCAATTGGCGGCCACGTGCCAGAATCCCTGACAACGGAAGCACTGGAGCACGTCGTCCTGAGCGTTGGACTGTTGGTTGGGCTGTTGCTGCTGTTGGGGTTGTTGATTGGGCGGGGCGTCGGGGCTGAAGGGGCTCTGGGGACCCCCGCGCCACCAGCGCTCCGGGACCGCGCAGAAACGCGCCACTCCGAAAAAATCTAGGCCCTGGCGCAGGAGCAGCTCGTACTGGCTGGGGTCCAGAACCTGCGACAAACAGCATACACGTATATTTGTATATACTCATTGGGGAGAGGGAAGCAAATCTTGCGATTTTCGTTTTGTTACGATTTTACAATCGTTCCGGGTAACGGTAAATGAATTTTGCGTTCCTTCAGCAAGTGTCAGCTAAATTTGTTGAAAAAATAAAAATTAAAAAAAAAAAAAAATGGATGAAATGAACGTAACGATGGGTGTGTGCGTGCGTGATTGCAGGCGACAACCGGTAGCGGATTCTTCGAGGTGCAGATCCTCTCGCTGACGAACAACCGGGGCACCCTAGTGGACGGGCGATGCTGCGGCGGGGGCAGGAGCATATCCGGTGGCAGTCAACTGCTGTTGCTACAGCAGCACCACCACCACCACCCGCAGCAGCAGCAACAGCACCATCAGCCCTGCTCGACCCCCTGCACCACCGCCTTCTGGCTCTGCCTCAAGGAGTACCAGTCCAACGTCACGGCCATNATCGAATTACTTTATTTTAATTCTGTGGGGCACAGTTAAAACGATGCACGACAATTAGTATCGAGAGGTTCAATGATTTTATCAAGATGCAATAGACTAGAGTGAAACCTTCTACAAGAATTATTTATAATATTTTTAACCAAAAACTTTGTTATCGATAAAGTTTCAACCCTTAATACAAGCAATTAATTTAGGCTCGTTTTTCACTGATGAAAAAAAATTTTTTGGTAGAAAATACTGTAAAAATCCACACAGTTTTCCGACACTTTGAATGGCTCTTGTTTAAAAGTTTTTCAACTTTGCCTGCACACTGAGAAAATCGTTGAACCCCCTTGCTCATAATGGCAAATGAGAATCAATCAGTCAGTCACCGGAAATTACACAAAAGTCACGTCTCAAACACAAAAAAAAAAAAAAAAAAAAAAAAAAAAGAACACGTACGCACCTCGACGCGAATGTAGTGTCGCAAGCGCTCGACGCTTCCGGTGGCGATGCCTTGCCTGGCGAGAGCCGAGCTGAGGTCCTGCAGTTGTATGGCCCAGGGGACGTCGCGCAACAGGAGAGCCTGCCGGTAACGGGTGTCTCGATCGTAGAAGCGGGCGACCTGCGTGCACGAGTGTGGGACATTCTTTTATTTGAACGGCCAAAGCGAATTTCATTTTTTTTTGTGCTCGTTGGTCCTTGGGATTTGTCTTTTCGTCAACAAATGTGATGCGCGTGTTACTAAATACTCGAGGCTCGATTTTAGACCTCACGACGCGTTTCAGAAAAAATAACGGTAAAAACAGTTGAAAATTAATGTCATTGGTTCACGAGACCGACAAACCACGTAATCTTTTTCCATAGTTTACGCTTCAACTGCAACAACAGCATCCTTAGAAGGAGCTTGGACATCCGGATACACTCTAGTGGCATTACATCTGTTTTGGACCCCGTTTTCGAATGTAATATATTTATACCGCTTGACTTTTTCAAGGTTTCAAGTTCAATAAAGCCATACAAACTGCCACACGCAGCCATCCAAAAGCAGGCGTAAAGCTCTGTTCCGCAATAGGATCCAGGACAGGTATAATGTCACCAAGACTTGAAACTATAATTAATTAAGAAGTCCGAGAAAAAAAATTGAAAGGTATGCACGTTGTTTCAACAAAACAAGATGAACAAACGAATACACGAGAGATGAAAAATCGATCGAGTTACAGTAAATAAAGTGTACTGCGCTTCAACCATAAAAACATGGCGCAATAATACTTTTTGGACATGCACAAATTAATGATGATTGACCATCGAAAAAAAAAAAAAAAAAAGGGGGGAGGTGGGTAAGTAAAAACCTGTACGGGCCCCTCGAAGATGCTCGCGAGATCGGCATACTGCAGCAGTTTATCGGCATCGGCTTCGCGCCCGAAACCGGCTAGTAGACCGCAATGGGTCTCCGACACGTGCCAGGGACCTTGAGGCTCAACCGCGAGGATCGCGTCCTCGAGGTTGGCACGTGGCAGACCATCCCTCGGGTTTCCCTGGTGCTGCTGCTGATCCAATCCACAGCTACGGGATATGTACAACCAACAGCTGAGCTGCTGCTGCGACTTGTTCAGACACGCTGCTGAGGAATCGACGATCGGCTCGTTATCTGCAGCGGTGGAGTTTACCGGTTTTAGACTATTGGCTAATTACACTTGCGTTTTTATTCGAGTTCCGCGAGTTTGAAAGACACGCGAGAATTTTCACAAGTTATGTATAACGGATGGCGATTTTTGTTGGTTATAACCATAACCGATACCGATTTCACATGCGATAATTATTTAGAAAAAAAGAAAAAAAAAAAAATTAAAATTACTATTGAAACCTGAGGTACGTATGGTCGCTGCAACGCGGGCGAGGATTGCTTATCCGTGTGGCGAAGAGGCTTGATTTATTTTAATTTTTGCGGAACGATATCATACTCACGTGACGAGCGATGTTGGAAGTAATTTGCTCCTTACCTTGAATGTATGAGTGATCCTGATTTTCCATTCTCTTGTTAAAACCTATTATGTGCGACAAATGCTTTCAGGAGCACATTTTTGTTCCTCGCGGCTATGGGGGAAAGCCGCGAGTTAAATTTGACAGCTGTAGCTACTTCGGGTGCGCCGTATACATATGTTATATATGACGCGGAAAATGTGACAATCGACCAACTTAAAATAACATATCATGGTTATGTGATGTACTTGAAAGAATTTAAATAATAAATGAGATAAATACACGGGTTATCGTTTTATCGGGATTTTATTCTTTCGACGAAAAGTTAAGCGCTAATTTAGCTCGTTTTCGTTTCTACATGTATGTATTACAACACACAACAAACAACGAGTATTCCTTTTCCCATGAAAATCAGCTCTAAATTAAAATTGTCTCCAAAGTAGAGTTGTTGACTTTATATTATACGTTTCTATATATTATCTATATTATATTAAAATAAAAAAAATTTGTTTAAAGTAAAAAAAACATCAATGTGTTTGCACATTTACTATGCAAAGCATCAATCAATTGTTTGGAAAAATCTTTACTTCGAAAAATTACAAGTTAGCTTCGGCTTTATATTTATTTATCGTACGATATTAGTTTATTCTGATGATAAAATACTTTTGATGTACTATTCTGATCTATATATGAAGATTATATGCATCTACATGAATTTCTGTGCAAATTTTGCATCGCTTTGTCTAATTATCATCAGCTGAAACATCTGTCTTAAAAACCATTTATAGATACAAATTTAATATTTGTTGTGTAACATAAAAAAAAAGTTTTACTTTGCCGAAAAAAAATAGTATCAAGTATATATATATTTATATCGACGATTTTCGAGACTCATACGCCACCTAGTGAATGTTGATGTAAGCTTAAAGCTTTGGGAACATTTTTTTGCATCAATTAAATGTTCAATCAGTTTTATTTGTTATTTAAATTTATATTATTAATTAACCAAGGAAGACAGTATATAATAAGGGTGCGTTCGAAAATTCAATTACCGTTCGTCGGTTCGTCGCTGGAATTGATCGTTCCAAAATTGCAAAGAAATGTTTACTATTTATGGATCGAATAGTCTATCGGTTCCGCAATCAGACAAAACCTATCCGAATTTTTCATACATTTTTGGAACAAACGATGAACGAACGTACCCTCATTCGCAGTTCGCATGAGAAAAGAAAAGATACTTATAAGTAACATATGTTTCTGTTCATGTTCTGCAGGTTCTGCTCTCTTGCAGCAGGAAGCAAGCTGAGGTATGGCAGCGAAGTGAGTCAACGCTTTTTTTTTTTATATATTTACTTACTGTTGGAACTCGGGGCTATAAATTTCGCACAAGTGCCGAACGTCAGAGAGTGAGGAAACACCTATTGTCATGTGGATCCTCGACGAGTGTAGTGCGTACAATAACTAAACGATATATAAGTAGACATATCATACGACTGCAGCTGGGAGTTGGCGTGTAATGATGAGTGTCACAGAGTTGGTGAAGTGCAAGGCGATCGGGCTCTGTTCGCAAAAAAGAAGCGTCGCTTTCCCTTTCTCCTGCTTGTATCAACAACACAAACAGATGGATATGATAATAGAAAACAACAACAACATGGCCAAGAGATAGGAGTATTAAAAAAAAAAAAAAAAAACAGCACACAACACCACACCTAGTACATTATTAGATCAGACCAGCAGTTCGTCTTTTCGGAGCAGAAGCAGAGAGCTAGAAAGGAGAATAACTCCTAGTAAATTATAAGACTGCTGTGGTTTTATTTTGCTGCTGCTGAATATTATTTATATATATATTATATATACATATATAAATAAGTGTACGAGAGCTCGAGAGTGCAAGTGTGTGTGAGACATCAAAGACATAAACAATGGACAACTCCAGCGGTTGCAGGAGCCTCTACCAGCTCAGCCTGGGTGCCGTGGCTGAGCAGTTCCTCATCTTTAAGAAACACATCAACTTCCTGCCCGAGAATGTGTTGTTTGACCTTTATTATCAGGTACGCATGTATATGTGTCTCAGTATTGTATTTTTCCAGCCAATCTATTTAATACAAATTAAAAGACTAACATGTTACACATATGCTTTATCTATTTCCAAATTTTTGTTGACATTGTGTACTTGGAGTATACGGTTTAAGTATCTGCTTTTGCTCTTCCCTCTATTGAATGTTTACAGTGTCTTTTTTCAATCACTTTCACGTCTCTGTTGTAACACTTTTTTTAGCTCCATTATCTTTAGGTACGTCTATTGCTTGTTAAAAATGTACATTACCAACAGAGGTAACAGAAGTCAATTTATGCTATCTGTAGGAGTTTTAGCACTCCTTGAACTCTGTTGTCAACCTAAAATAGTAAGTACTTATAGGAAAGAAATAAAAACAAACATCTACTTCGTTCATTGTGCCCTTTTCTATCTTTCTACTCATTACATTATCAAGCAAAGTAATTGCCATGGATGACACTTGGCCTTTCTCTTCTGACTTGGTGACTTAGTGCCTTAAGTTTTTTTTGTTTTTTTTTTTTTTTATCTTAAACGCACACGCTCGGTTTGTGATTTCCTCTGTGTATTGTATTTACTTATAGATATTTTATTGGCACTCTTAATTTTTCAAGTGCCCAGACAGATCCGTGTAGTCAAGGGTACCTATCAGGCTTTTGTTTTTTCGTTGTAGTTTTCGGACTTGGACCATAAAAGCATGTAATATGTACGGACTTGCTAACGCACAGCATATTATAGCATACGAGTCTCGTTCAGATCATGTGTTCCGCGATCGGATATCTATCATTAGCGGCTATACGTATAATATATACGTAAATCTAAATCTACCTATACTTACATACACGTACACAATGCTATATTTAATTGGGAATTTGCGGGTAAATGCAACGTCGCAGCAAACGCTCGATATATGTGTGTGCGCTCTCCCCATCAGTTTTGCTTACCTACCATATGACTATTACACGTTGTACATGTGTCTGCGTGCCTTTTAAACTTGAAGTGTCCGTGGATTTCATTGATTATCCAGCTGTTTTTAACCGACGTATAACATGTATTCATAATAATCAAAGCTGTTTGAACTCTAGACTCATTTACTTTGCAGTAGTTGATTATTTAATTTTTAAATAATATTTTTTTTGTTGAATCTTCACTTTTTTCCTTGTATTGAATGTTGAGATTAGAGATGTAAAATGTGTTTTTGTATTGTTCATTCGGTTACGTAAATAATAAATATAATAGTATTGAGTTCTCAAAAAGAAGCATCGAATACGTTATCAATTCTCATTAGCAACTTAATCCCCTTGATTTTTAAATGTACAGTCTTGTTCATGCAATTTGTACCTGAAGTTGCTCGATTGATTTTTGTTTTACAAATAGTTGCATGTACTTATTGTTTTTTATAAATGCATATTTTATTAGATATTTATGTGTCGATCGTAGTTTATTATTTTACTTAAAGAGCAGTCGTCATTAATACTATCTTTCGAGTATACATTTAAAATATATGTAAACTTAATGCATGTTTTTTCAACAATAAATGACTTTTAAAGATGTAAATAAAGGCTTCAAGTGTATTTAACGTTATTATTTATCATCTCTTTGTTTCAAACTCTCGATTTATAAATTAACCATCATATATTTTTTCATAATAAATCGAGACACCTTAAAATTTTTATAATCAAAAATTCTTGCGATAAGACAAAATTTAATGTTCAAAGTGAGTTGAGGAATTGAGATAATCCTCTCACTGATGTATGTAATACTTCACGTAAACAATATACATATACATAAAAGTGCCCACATTTACTCGAATATTTATGCACCGTTTAAATGTATGTACACACGAATTATTGTACACGAGTTTTTATCAATGTAGTAAAATACTTTATCATATCTCTTTGTTTTTGCTATAATTAATGAACGAGAAAACATCACAATCAACACTTGTACCGAATGCAATGCCTGCTTAAAAGAATAATATTAAAGTAAAATATTATTACAAGTTGTATAACTATTAATTCACTTTTTCTACTGTATTTTTAAAAATTTTTTTTACTGAAATCGAAGATAGTGAAACATCAACAAATTTATGCATGACTCTGACAAAAACGTGTAATTTTCATTAACGGCATCATATTTTGACGATAATCACATGAAACGTATTCTTTGAAATAATATTTTGTTCTCAGTATAAAAATTGATCCAAAAAGTCTGTAGTTTAATTATTTTACACAACTATTCTTCTCAACAAACATCCAAAGTTGCCTAAAAATGTCGGTAGTTTTTAAAATTATTAATAAACTTTTTTATGTACCATTAATATTGTTACAACAATAAATTTTCAACCGAATTTTTGTGTCTTAACTTTCAGCTGTACAAAAATCGAAAGCTGTGCCTCCTTGGAATGGAACTAAGTGATCTCAATACACTCCTACGTATGCTCAAAGTGACGAACAAGCGTATTCATTTACACAAAAGCTTTCAGGTAATTGCTTGACTTTTAAAAATCAAAGGTGGCTTGAAATGTAACAGCAAGTAATTGTTTTGTACAACAGGCTTTGATGGACCACGGGACAAAAATTGGAAATGAACTAGCCATCAGTTACAATTTGTGTTATCTTGGCAACAAAGACAATTTTTCTGCGCACGAAACAATTATAAATTTAGGCTTACGTCTTGGAAAATTCCTCAACGATGCAGGCTGGTACTTTGAAAGTGAACAAGTTTTGTTAGCGTGTAAGGATCTCTGCGTTTCTGGCCCGCAAAATCCAGAAAACTGGTGTCGCACCTTGGACTGCTGTTACAAGTAAGATGGATTCAACGAGTTTTTCATAAATATAATTTATTGTGTTTGATCTTATGTTATTTTATTGCCAACTAACTTTCATTCTTCCATACAGATTACTTCATGCACAAACAGCTTACTGTATGTTTAATGAAGCTACTAAAACGTGTGACTTAGCGCTGCAAACCATAGAGAAGTTGAACAACACCGAATACACAAACATCAACCACGCTGCTTTTTATGCAGAACTCGGTGTGCTGTATTTCAGTAGAAGCGAATACGATAAAGCATACAAGTAATATACATCAATCATCGAATTTTTATAACTCGCCAAACTAGTGGTAATTGTGAATGGAATCACAACAAATTTCTCTCATTGTTTCGCAGATGGAGCGTGGAAGCCCTGAATCAATTGAAACCATCTCTCTCACCGCACATTATCATAAATGTACTACGTCAAACTGCCAAATCTTGTATTATGATGAGAGAATACAAAAAAGCAGGTCTGCTTATAAAACATGCCGTGTGTCTTGCCAGAGAACTTTTTGACCGTCAAGATCCAAAGTACAGCGACGTCCTGATCGACTATGGGTTTTATTTGTTGAACTCGGATAGTATTCCTAACAGTGTCATAGTTTATAAGGTAAAATTCACACTTTTTAAAATCAGTTAATTACTTGCATGGTTTGCCTCAAATTTTTCGTAATTTCATGCTCTGTATTTTAGTTTGCATTAGATATTAGAAAAGAAATATTTGGTAAATACAATCTCCAAGTTGCAATGGCTCATGAAGATTTAGCGTATGCCCTGTATGTTCAAGAATACAACTCTGGTAAATTTAGTCTAGCAAGGTAGGTTTGTATGAAGTTGATGATGATTATGAATGATGAAGTGAAAGTTGAAGCAAAAAATTATAATCGTTTGTGATAATCTCACTTTGACAGCCATCACGTGAATAAGGCTATCGAAATAATGGAAAAGTTACTTCCTTCAGAGCATTTGCTGCTTGCAAGTGCCAAAAGAGTAAAGGCCTTAATTTTAGAGGAAATAGCATTGGATAATTCGCAGACGCCAGGATCGGATCAGAATTTATTTACGAAATCGGAAACCCTCCATTTGTCTGCTCTACAACTGTCACAGACTGCGTTCGGCGATATGAACGTACAAACTGCCAAACACTACGGGAATTTAGGAAGATTGTATCAAAGCATGAACAGATTTGATGTGCGTATGAATCTAAATAAAAATTTTACAGAGTCATAAAAAGAATGTTGTTTTCTAGGAAGCGGAAAAAATGCATCTTAGAGCCATAAGAATTAAGGAAGACATACTAGGTTCGTACGATTACGAAGTTGGACTAAGCATAGGACACTTGGCTTCACTGTACAACTTTCACATGCAACGGTACGAAGAAGCAGAAAGATTATATCAGCGTAGTATCGATATAAGTGAGTATACCAATGTTGGTACTCGGAGTTTAAAAAAGCTTTCTTGAATGAGCTGTGAATTGCACATTTGCTTCCAATCAAATTATTCAAATTTATTCACATTATCCAGGTCTTAAACTATTTGGCAAGACTTACAGTGGCTTGGAGTATGATTACCGAGGTTTACTGCACGTCTATTCAAAACTTGAAGATCACGATAAGTATGTCGAGTTTATGGACAGGTTGAGTGAATGGAAGGACCTGAGAGACGAGCATGCCAACTCGGAAGACCCCTTGTTCGAAGAAAAACCGTCACAGCCTATCAGTGATGTGATACAAACATTTCTTACAATAAAGTAGAAATAGGTATAGAATCATAAAAAAAAGAAAAAATCGTGAGCAACAGCGTCATCGATTACATCAATATGCGCTGGCGTAATATTAAGAAATTAATTTAAATCGTTAATAGGAGGACTATTCAGTGATTAAATTTGTTTTTACTTGTCACATTAAATCTGCGATGCAATTTCATTTATATACTTCACTTGGCGCACATTTTTTTAAAAATCAATTCGACATTTTTCGTGAAAGATTATGTATGACATAACCATTTTTTTTCCTTTTCTGAATGCGTGATTTCAAGTTTTACTGACATCCAATGTATTCAAATGGCAAGTCTTTGAGAATTGAAAAGGATAGATAGTGATAGCATGAGCTATTCAATATGGAATGTTTCATAAATTATTAGAAACTATCAAACATATAGTCAATTATTTCAAAACAAGAGGTCTGTTATGTAAAATTTAATTTCTTTTGCGTGAATTATTATTTAAATGAAATTAGGGCAAAAATTTTATTCCAAATTGGAGTTTATTTTTGTCTTAGCAAAAATGTAAATTTTTAATAGGATGTTGTAATATGTTTAACATATTTTAATTATGTTTTTGAGACAAAAATTATATTATTCGTAACAACGTAAAATATTTATTACAATAAACCATTCAAATTATTAAACTCAAAAATATTAAAACTTTTATAAACTAGCGATTCTGCGATTATAATTGAAGTTTTGTATATAAATATAAATAATTATTTTTAAGGAATTGTTTGTAATTTAATATATGGCGATGAATTGAATAGAATTTTCTTGCGTTTGTTACATTTGTAAACGGTTCTGCTGTGTCACAACAAAGCCAAACTTTGATATCTGCATAAATATTTGTTAGTCATAGGAACATGTAAATATGTTGTTTATGATTTTTATTACGTTCAATAATAAAATGAAATAAAAAAGATTTCATTGTGATAACTTTTTGACTCTGAGGTAAGATCAACGGATTGACTGGCTTTTTAAAAATAATCATATTCTTTTAAAGATTTCTAGACCACAGCACGTTGCTGTTCCGCTACATCGATGTCTCTTGTGAAGTATAGCTGTAGGATTTCTCAAGCTTTTTTTAGATGGAAAAATTCGTGTTGTTCAATTTTTTGTCACAGACATCGATATATGAGAACAGAGAACATGGTTTTATTTGAACTATATTTTCTAAGATTGTTTTGTTTTTAAATAGTACTGAGAGGAAAAATTAATATTAAATGGAAATGAAGCAAAAACTCTTTCATTCTTTAAACGACGATACACTTTAATTAGTATAGTCCCATATTTACAAGATATTTGACAAATATACTTTTTGTATCACGTGACTCTTGTCAGATGATTAGAATATATCTTTTTTTAGATATTTATCGAGTCACAGCTATAGTCTTCATTCAATACTTGCACAATTTCTAGCGATTGTTTACTGTACAGGTTAAAAAAATTTGCATAAAAACGCTTATGAAAATATATGAACGAAGAAAAAAAGATTTCGTAACATTCATTCAAAGTATGTTGATTGGAAAGCTGCCGCAATATTTATATTACTAAAAATACAAGGAATTGAAAGATAAAATTTTGAATGGATTCATATATTTTCATACTATTTCAATTTTCATATCACATCGTACGACTTTACATGATTTTATAATCACTGCCCCAGATTAAAGAGACTAATAAACAAATACATTCGGAAAGTTGGAAAAATTACTTATAAGCATATATTTCATTTAAATCACCAATTGATCTAGTTAATTCAATAACTGTATTGCACTTTATCGTAACTCAATCCATCCAAATTAGTTTTCTTTTTTAAATCGTCTTAGGGTGGGTCTCGACTGAAATACGGAGCAGTTTCTTGTACCAGTAAGGTATGGCAAACATTACAAACTCTCGATGGTCTCTGATGTGGTCCGCTTTTCACAATATTATTTAGGCACGAAAGACAAAAAATTTGACCACAGTGTCGACAGTGCATCTATGAACAATGTTACATGGTTTTTTAAATTGTGATAAAATGAGACTTATTAAAAATAAATTTGGCAAAAATAGTAATGAAGATAATTACTAACCTTTTCTTTTTTCTTTCCTTGCAAAAAAGATGAGCGACATGTTGGGCATTCATCTACATCCTCTTCATACTGCCATCTAACTTCTTTTTCAGAATCCCGTATTTTTTGAAGTTGAACCTGTTAAATACGGTCATTAGTTGTTAAAAATTTATCCAAACTAGCAGTAAATGCTTGTTCATACCTGTAACGATTGCGTCAGGCGAACGAAATCTTTTTGAGTCTCTTCGCCAGTATTCAGCTCCTGCTGCAAGTTCAAAATCTGCTGCTTCAATTCGGTTATGATTGATTCAGTTTTAGTCGCGCGCTCAACCATACTCTGAAGTTCTGCTTCTTTTCGGTCTTTTTCTTGATTATCCTGCTCTATTTGGTCATGCAACAGTTCAAGCTCACACTCGAGTGATCGGCACTTTCTTTCAGTTTCTTCTTTTGCAATAGTCGCTACTATCAATTCTTCGCGAATTTTCAAAATACTAACATGCAATTCTTCGACGGTGTTTGGCATGTTGATATGTTCATACTGATAATGCTCGGAGTGCCTGCTATATTTTCCCATGAGATAATCGTTTTCTTGCTGCAACCTATGTATATACGTAAAATAAAAATATTATGTATTAGATACAAATTTTCACTTTTTTCAATAAAATAAAAAGAAATGCACTCACTTGTCCAAATGTCTTTGTACATCATCTCTTTCTCTTGTTAAACGAGCTAATTCTTTTGTAACACACTCTTTTGTGTAACTGTATTGCTGTTTCAGTTCATCATTAACTTGTGTGGATAACTTTACCGAATAGCTCAACTGATTGACTTCGGCCTTGTGTTCTTCTTTCTTTTCATTCCACTTTTCTTCCATACCTTTTCTAAACTCTACTTCTTTAACTAAATCTTGTTTCTGAGTTTGCAATAATTGTTCAGTTTCTTGCAATTGTTTTCCAAGATCTTTAGCTTCCATTTGCATTCTTTGGAGTTGAGCTTCGTAATTTGAACACATATCACACGTATTTTCTCGGATACCAGATTCTTTTGCTTTAGCTTGTTTTGCATTCTGTTGTTCTTCCTTCTCTTTGTACTTTTGTAACTCATCATCTGTAGTTCTTAGTTTCTCTTTTAACGCTGATATTTCTTCTTCTAATGGCACAACCAGTGAACGTAATACTTCAGCGTCTTCATCTGCCTGAAATGAGATGTAGTTAGTTGTTTATGGTACAGTCATTGATAAATAAATATAAAATTTGATAATATGCTTACATGACGCTTATTTTTTGACGAAGTTTCTTCGTTTTCGGAGCCAAGTGAAAGTGAATCAGCACCTAATTGTGAGGCTACCTTTTTTGCCAATGATTTAGTCATCGTTGACAGAGAAATTTGAGGTCCATCAAGCGGTGAATTCTGCATGAGTTGTAACCTTAAATTGTTATTTTCTTCCTTTAGTTTACTAATTTTAGTCTCCAGTTCTTTTCTTGCTGCTGAAGAGTCTTGAACTGTTGATGTTATGATTTGTTGCAATGAGGCAATTTCATCTTCAGCCTTACGCTTTTCTAGATCAATATTATTTTTCGTTTTTATATCAACAATCACCAACTGACTTTTAACTTCGTTTAATTCGTGTTGGAAGTTACAGTTTTCTTCTTGTAACTTTGAATTTTCTTCAGTTGCCTTTTTTAGGTCCTCTAGAATAGATTAAAAAAAAAAAAATGTAATAATCAAATTTTAAAGAGGAGACTGCTGTTTTCTTATATATACCTTCTTTTTGTAAAAATAATTCCTTAATTTTTGCCCTTTGCGTATCAAACTCTTCTCTCATTTGATTATTCAGGGCTTTTAACCTTTTTACCTCTTCGTGTACATCTTCTGTAAAAACATCAAGTTTGTATACTTCTAGTAAGTTTGATGGATTTATTTCAAGAAGCCAAGGGGTCATTCTTGAAACCTAATAAGTAAATAAATCAATAATATAAAGGTTCATCTCACCTATGTTATTTGTGATGTTTTCAGTGTCCTCTTTGGTGTCACTATCACCTTGTGTAGCTGCTGACTCCATTTTTTGATCTTCCAATATTATTTTTAAACTATTCTAAACAATGGCACTATATTTACAATAAAACCTGCATCATCACAATACTGAACTGATGTATAAGGCTGTATTGTCTAAACAATTAGACAAGCAGATCTTCAGTTACACCACTTTGTTAAAATTAAATCAACAACAAGATGGCTAGTGCAATTAAGATAATTAGAAAGATAAAAAAAAAAAAAGGTAAAATCCGGTGAGGCCAGTAATACAAAGGTAAGCGAATCACCATCTACGCCTTACAAACTTGATAACGACGATGACGACACAGGTGCGTATAACGTCTATGGATGGTCAGAAGCCGGGAAAATGAGTTGTTGGCCAAGTATTGGGTGACAGCTCATTACGACGAAGAGGTTTTACGATTGCGAGGATAAAATGAAAAAGTGTAGGTATCACTATTTTACCTACTGCAACAGCTTGTAATGTGGTTGAAAACAATAAACGAACTCCATATTAAGGAGTAGCAAAGGAGAATAAAAATCATTCGGCAACACACGCCGATTGTCACGAGGTGGACATGTCTCGACCGCACAAATGAGATTAATATTCGAAGAAAATCCAGCTAAGACTCATGTGTAACCTCACTTTTTCTGTCTCCAGTTTATGCCACAGAGAGTGTCAACAATCCAGTCGTAGCAGCCACAAATGACACAATTCACTTAATTCCATTATATATCATAAAGAGATACTTGTATCAACGAACGACAGGCGCTTTATCGCTTCATCCTCCTCTGTACTTAATTATGTCTTGCTACTTTGTCATCAGCAATTCAGCGCTTTCAGCTTTCAGCAGTGGAGAGCTACAAGTATGAATTATATATATATGAATCGTGATTGTATGAAAGTTGTGAATCATGAATTTGCAGTGATTGAGTCGTGTGATTGTGATATGACATCACAATGTGTGTGTCGTCCGCTACCATAGGGGTGCGTTCGATTATATGCATCCAATTATCATCGTTCGTTCGTACAACGTATACTATTAGTTCGGTTCGTGTGTTCCAATTGTTTCGCTTTTGTTCCTGGAGGGGGGGGGGGGCGTGGGTATACAGGTAAGGCAAAAAATTAATACCCGCCGCCAATCCCATAAGAGTTGATAAATCTTATGCCCTATGATTTTAGGATATCCAAAGTGTTTTTGCGATGTAGTCTTGCTATGACAAGTTACATCGGTACATGGTGAGTGTATCGAGATAAATGACATCTATATTGTGTCCAAATTTCAACTCTTCATATTAATTAGAAGGGGGGTTATTAATTTTTGGAAAAACGACCCGAAACTACAGTGTTTTGCAATTTGCATAAAAACGACTACACTAATATTTAAGCTTAACGCAGCTCCTTTTTTTCGTCCATAAATTTCGTATCTTTATGTTATGGCGCAATTTTTTCATAAATATTTTGTTCAAAATTTAATCAATAATGAACTATTGGCAATGTTTTTTTTTATTGAAATCACAATGTAATGTCACGTCATTATAAGACAAAAACTTAATGTACCTTCAGAAGAATATTGATTAAAATGTTTCCTTGTTTCCTTGTTTGCGCATTTATGTCATAGATGTCAGTCTAGTCTCCATAAAAAGCGAAATACATAATAAACCGGAAACCACCCAAAAGTTCCATTCCACCCTTAGTCTTAAATGTGCTATCCAAAAGGATGTATAGTTTCGTGTGATTAAAAAAAAAGTCTGAAACATATAGGTAGCGATACGTAATTATGTTAAATTATTTTTTTTAGCGTAGGCACATTAAATTCAAAGGAAAATTGACTTGTAAGTCATCTAGCAGCGATTTTTAGTCACAAAAAGCAGCAGCAGATACTTCGGACAGTTGAAAACGCTGTACTACTTTATTAAATCTTTTTTTGTTTTAAAATGTTATACTTACTTGGAAAAAACGCTTTTTAAAATAGACTAAAAATAGCCAGATCATTGGACACATGATATTTTTTTGACCGTTACATCGAGATGCCGCGTACATTTGTTTTAAGCTAAAAAAAAACAACGCTCCAATGTAGGTACGCGCACTTGAGAAAAATTCAATTTAATTGTACCTACTTTGAACCACCCTAGCGTTTATACACCTACGTCTGCTTGTAACCAAGAATATTTGTACCTCTAAAGCTCATAATGTGTTGAAGTAAATCCGAACCAAGTAAAGCGCGTTGAAAGAACAGTGGCGCATGCACAGGCCGAGGCCAAATAGCCGATGAAATAACCGATACGGAGCAAAGTAAAATATACCGATGGCAGGCCACGCCATCCGTTATCGGCTTCGCCCACACGCCGATTAATTTTCGGATGCTGGTACATGATGGGCTGCGGAGACGATGGGAGTGACCCGTTGCTCAGTTGTGTATACATGTAATATATACTCTTACCACGATTCGACACTATCGTCCTGGACACTCGGTTCTTTCCGTCACTGCCGGCCACTGATGATCATCCGATTTCAAATATAGCCTTGCGCAAGAGCACGTTGCAGATATCGCGCTCCGCGATCAATAATTCTGCGGCCACTTGCATGAATAATTTGTTGACTCCATGTTCTCCAAGAATTTTTTAAGCATTTTTTTTTTTTCTTTTTAACGGATCTAGAGTTTAAATAATACCCGATTGGGTCAATAAATTTGCATTGTTAATTTAAAAGTAAACAATTTTACTGGATTTGTTTTATTTTATACCTAATTGTTGGGCCAAACATTAAAGCTTGAAGTAGTTTTGATGGAAGAAAGTATATAGTATATTAATGCAAGTTTCACTTCTTTTAGAGTTTTCTTTATACGCCAAAGCATCGCAATGAAGAGTAAGATTATATTAATCGATACTGAAAAAAAATTACCGATTCTGTGGGTGCAGAAAATCACGGATTATCGTCAAGATTTAAAAGTGTTGTCTTGGTATTATCTCGAAACCCTTGTGAAGCCCCATACTTCAAGCTGATCTCCCTTTGCTTTCGCAACATCTACCGTAAGTTTAACAATATTAGGTGGTAACGAAGAAATTATAAAACATACGTGTGAGCTTACAGCCCATTGACCATAGGAATAAGACAAGCATTGAAGTTTACGTACAGTCGTAGCACAGAGAGACGAAGGGTGATGGGAAATCTTAGCATATACTTTTAATATCCGACAATTGTGGATGTATAATTATGTACTTGTGGAAGAAATAAGGAGTCACCGCCCTTTTGCTGGTGCATATTATGCGATAGGTACATGCACGTGTGTGATGATTCTCCTGATAACATGAGCCTCGAGTGAATTAAATAGCAATCCGCTGTGACAATATGGTTTCTTGGACAATTCGCATTTGTCGTATACGAGATTAGTCAGAGAACATATTATTTTTTTATTTTTAAATGTGCCTCAGTCACTAGTACTGAAATTTTTCATTTTCTCTTTTTTTTTTTTTTTTTTTTTTTTTCAGTTAGTTAAAGAGTAAGCAACAAAAGCCTCAACAGTCCCCCCGCGATGACGAATTTGATAACACCACCTGGCGCAGGATGCAATTGTAGCTGCCAAACGATTATTGTTCCCTCCCCCGAGAGCACCACCGCGCGAATACGCTCCGGCCAAAGTCGAGGCGTAATAATTCACGACACGCCTCACCGCCGCGTGTGGATTAACGGCACACATATATATACACATGCGTTGCGCTCAGCCTTGGAAAACTCTTTGATTATTTTCCCTCGGCTCGCCCGCAAAACTTTTCCTCTTCTTCTTCTTCTTCTTCTTCTTGTGCAAACGTATAAGCGCACGCGTGTTATTTCACACGCTGCTACGGCCGTCAAGTAAAATCTCAACGTAGGTTTGATTTATCCTCCCCGTAGTAAGTATACATGATTATTCCAATCGACTCTGTGACACACACGCCCCTTAATGTATAGGCGCACAAGCATACTTATGTTGTACATCCATACGTTTAGGTATGTATATATATCCACGCGCCCCCCCACACGCCCACGATCATATATATTATATACCGAATATCGAAATTCCGGGGAAATTTATTGTCGAGCAGCTCAACGCGTATTGTTTGCATAATGTATGCGTGTATGGGTGCAAGTGAGATTGTATTGATAAGACATTGATTACGCAGGAAGAGCTTGTATAGGTACTACTTGTTCTGGAGAGCTGGGTTTTTTTTTTTTTTTTTTTTTTTTCATACACCCCGCGTCCACCAATTTTGTGTTACCAGTTACATTGTGACTTAGCAGATGCAAAGAGCACTACAACGCTTGTCTGGTCATGCTTATTTTTGTTAGTTATTACTTTTTTCATACACATTCAAAGTATTATCCTGTACTTACAGGCGTGCATCAGATTTTTTTACCTTTTATATCGACGTCTCCTCCGATTTTACTCATAAGTGGCGACAATGTGTGGACATCACCATGCAGCAGGCAGTAATGCCTTGCGAGTTTTTGGCACGAGTGTTTATGTCTACATGAATCCTCATTTAAGTCATCAATGATTAGGTAAGCAAAGACTTTTCGGTTAAATACTCGCAGTACACGCGTAGCCCACCATATCAAAATAATATATTGTTACGATGAGACGTTGAGGCAGAAAAAATGTTGCGCGTCAGCATAAAGAGAAGCAAAATAAATGGAAACGGTCTGAAAAGAAAAGAAAAAAAAAAAAAAAAAAAAAAAAAAAAAAAAAAAAAAAAAAAAAAAAAAAAAAAAAAAACAGAGGGAAAGAAAATAAAGAAGACGAAGAAGAAAGAGGGAGAGAATTTAGAGAAACGAGTGGGGAGTAAAGATTGCCGGCTTATTGGTCCTTTTGTTTGTCTCCGAAGATAGCGGGGCCGATTTATTCAACGATGACGGTAAATTTCGTCCGATTTTTCTTTATTTCGATCGTTAAGCGCCTTGTTTATCGACGCGCTTCGTTCGACCTCTTGATTTGCCGGCCGATACATTATACGTATACCTACACCCACCTATACGTGCTCGCGCTCATGCCTGCTCATCATATCACAAAAGTGAGCTCGCATTCGGCATAAACTTCGACTTCGACTTGTTTAGTGAGGTGTGCGCGTACATATATATATATATATGCTTAAGCGGGCGCGCGCTCCTCTGAATACGTATTTTTCGATTCATTCGCAAATGATTTCATAAATTTTGGAGGATCCCAGTAATGAGCTTGGTTTGCGAAAAAAGAAATATCTTTTGGTCTTTCGCCCGTTTGGCTAACCGTGTACGATAAACAACATGTACGTTCTCTCTCATTGAAATGGCACTGTCCATCGGGTACAATTACAAACTCATCATGCTTATTAAGCATCGGCTTCAAAGTAATTACAAAATAAAGTTTTGGTGACATCCAAACGTTTTAGCCACTCTGAGAATTTCCAAAATTTATCACGATTTTCATTTTTCATCAGAATCATTGAACTTTATGAATACAGAGGCAGAGCTGTTTGAAATCGCGATTAATGTACTCATTCGGTTAAATTAATTTAGTGAAGCCATCTTTATAGGTAGTGATTATTTCTCTTGATGGAGATTTTTTTTGGTCTGAGGTACACTCAACGTCAAACCCATTAACTTGTATAGATGTTCTAAATTTCGAGTGAGTGAATGTTAATGTTGGAAAATTTTTGATAACTAATTAAAATTTATAAAAATAATTCATACTTAATTTAATTATNAAAGACTTACGGTAGCCAGGGAGTCTCAGATTTCTTTGAGGGACGAAGATGGGCAAAGGCACGGTAGCCATTGTTACTTTTGTACACCGAAGCATTCGGGGGGCCGGCTACTTGTATTGGCCGCGCTAATCCATGGTATATGAAGAATTTTACTCCATCCGCGTGTACTGTAATA